TCAGGGCTGAGAGCTGGGGTCAGGCCCTCACCTCCCCTTCCCTTCCCAGAGTCTCCTCAGCCCAAAATCCCCATCTTGGCAATCGTGGTTGGCCTGGCTCTCATTGGACCTGTGGTGGCTGTTGTGATGAGGAGGATGAAGAACGCAGGTAGGGAGGGGCAGGGTCTGAGGTCTTGTCCCACTGGGCATTTCAAGCCCAATTTGAGTGTCTAATGGGAGGTGAGCACTCACACATGGGTGCTCATCTGTCTGGGGCTGTGTGCTGCATTCGCTCCACTATAAAGCACATGGGAAATAAAGGCACATTCATCACCCTGATGACTAATCAGGCAGAGCTCAGGTCCCTGCTGAGAACAAACCTCCAGGATGATAGTTGATCCCCTACCTGCATACCTCCCATCATGTTTCTTCATCTTTCCCCATGAATACTGATTTCTGGAAATTTCTCTGGGGTAAGGACTGGGGAATTCCCTTAGACCCTCATGACCCTACTGCCTTCCTGACAACTCACAGGTTGTTCTTTGTTTTGTTTTGTTCCTACAGGCTGGGCTGTTTGCTGAGATCCTGAGATAGTGCAGACAAGAGCCCATGGGGGAGCTCAGCCAACCCATATGTTGTATAGGACTGTCCTCTGATAGATGCCATCTTTCCAAGAGGCCTGCTTGCCTAGGATCATCACAGGTGAGCTTGTTAACCCCCCATAAGGAGTGGCAGGGAGAGTTCTGGGACCCTCACCTGAGAGTTCAGCCACAACCCCCACCCAACCAGTGGACCCTAGTTGCATGTGCCTGGGGGAGGTCTAGGAGAGGCCCTATCTCCAGTTTATGTGGCTATGGGGAAGCCATCATCCAGGCTTGGGGTTAAGACTTTCCAGTGTGGCCTTAGGAGGGGAGCACCCACACCCCTCCTGAATGCAAACCCTCACCCACTGCTCTTTAAGCCCAGTAAACACACTGATTTCCCAGACTGCAGTTTGGCAAAATCATACCTCAGTTGGTCATTAAGGGAGGGAGCAGACATTGTTCACACACACACATACAACACAGGAATTTTATCAACGCCATAATTTCACCATAATTTAGGTGGAATTCCCATCTGACCAGATCCTGTTTTGTTCTCTGTTCTGGGCAGGGAAAGTACCCAGGGCTCTGCCGGCTCGCTGAGTTTGAAAAGCCACACCTGAGGAGGAACGAAAATGAGACACTGGCCAGGTAGTCAGCCTGTTTGTTTCCTGTTTCCTCATTACACCTGTTCTCAGGGCTGTGCGTGAGTCTGGTGCTGTTATTCTCTGTCCTCAGTGTCTGACGGCAGCAGTTTCTCCTGTCATTATACCCCAGGGCCAAGGAAGCCCTGCGGTCAAGTCTCTGTAGCATCAAGAAAATTTTTGGTCACTGGGTGTTTGCCATAAAAGTATGGGGACCAGAGTTTGGATCCCCAGGACTTAGGTAAATGCCAGACAGGCATGGTGATCCACCTGTAATCCCAATGATCAGGAGGCAGAAACAGTAGATCCATTACAGTAGCAGAATCTGCAAGCTCTAGGTTTAAGTGAGAGACCCTTCCTCAAAATGTAAGGTGAAGAGTGACTGAAGAAGTCTCCCAAAGCCTTCCTCTGGTCTCCACACACACTCCTACACACATGCACACACACAAACATACACATACCACACACATAAATCTTTCACTTGCTGAGTTATTTTCCTTCCACCACCATTTACTGGCTAGTATTTTCTATCATTTAGATAATATAGTTAAAGGAATCAGATAGTGGGAAAAGCAGAGAGGACACACACACACTGGAATCCACTACTCAACCTCACCTCTTCCCTAGAGTAAAACATTAAAAGGCCTCAAAGAACCAAAGCTCGAACTACTGATGAAGCAGCGGTGTCTTTTGGAAATGGACTTAGATCAGCAGCAAATGCATATTAAACCCCTACAGAACCAGGAAACATCTGAAAAGGAAATGTAACTGAACCAGGTGTGGTAGCACATTCCTGTAATCCCAGCACTTGGAGGATGAAGAAGGATGACTGACGAGTTTGAAGTAAGCCTGGGCTACAGAACCAGACCCTGATTCCACAATCAATCGAGAAATAAACGCTGTGGGAGATGGCTCAGCGGTTCACACACACACACAC